TTTACAAAATAATCAACATCATTTTAACACCCACCCTTCTCCCTAGCCTTAAAACATGTGATGTTGATAATTGAAGTTTAAGTATTTTCCAGAAGTCTTTATGTGGGCAAAATACCTAAATAATTTGAACGAAATAAATGTTCATTTGTTTAAAGACAGACAAAAGGCAAAACCAATACCCCTCCCTACATAAACTTCTTGACTAAAGAGAGAATTCTCTCCATCCTAGAGGTCTGCAGTAGGAACAGCATCATCTAGAGATGATGCTCAACTCAACCAAGCCTCTCAAAGGACCTGCTACCCTGGGTAACTACCTTATGGTGCAACTTCCCTTCCTGTTACTAGAAGGAAGTAGCCTCTAACAGGGAAGGTACCCGTGACTTCTCTCCTGTGCACACTCAAGGCAGCATGGTTTACTGAGACCAGGGCCAGGGCTGGGGCATCACACTGTGCAGAAGAATGCCCACTCAACATTGTTTTATGAAATACTTCAGTCTCATCTTTGAACTATGACACTGTCCCAAGGCTTTTGCGATTGACGAACAGCTGCATTTTTGCCTGCTCTGCACTTTTGGTGATTAAACCAAGATTGATTGGTTCAGAGCCATGGCCTCCGAATGCAATGCCAAGGCCTGCTGGCTGGGTGTCGATGCTGGCTCAATTAAGAAAGTTGCTGAGTAATGCCAGATGTAGGTGATGGGGAGGAAGGCAGCAAATCACACTGCCACGTGTGTACCTATGCAACAATTTTGCATGTTCTTCAAATGTACCCCAAAACCTAAAATGCAAGAAAATAAATAAATGGGAATAAAAGAAAATAAAAGAAAATAAAAGAAAGTTGCTGAGTAAACTTGCTCCACTTCTCACTCTCCATTTAGCTATTTTATTTAAATGGCAGCCTCCTCCTCTTAGAAAAAAAAGGACGTATTGTTTAGATGAAGAAAACTGGGAATTCTGTAAATTAGAATTTAATCTAGTTGTTCTGCAATACCGTGTGCAGAAGAATCATGTGTAAAGTTTATCAAAGTGCAGGTTCCTCTGTCCCACCACCTAGATTCTGGTTCTTTAGGTCAAAATAAGGCCTGGGAATCTGCTGTTTGAATAAGCACTCAGTATGACTTTGATACAGAGGTAGTCCAGGTCATGCTTGGAAATTACCTGGCTCTTCTACTTATAAACTATGTGACTGTGAACAGATCCCTCAACTTCTAAACCTTGCTTTTGAAGTGGGGTAATAATCCCTCTGTCTATCATTCCTCGTGACGCCCCATTGAGATAACGCGTGGAGAACATGCTGGTACCTGGCAGGCAGTCAGGAGGGGTCATCTCAAATGAGCTGTCCCACCTCCCCCATATTCTCCCCTCCAGCTTGGGGTTAGGGCTGGTTAGGGCACACCATTAATCTCAGAGCAGTAGCCTCCTGCCTCTCAACAAGGATGGGACCCTGTCCATGTCTTCTTCACCTCCCACAATTTCATGGTCATGTGAATGCCCTGAACATCTTTACTTTATAGGCCCTTATCGCTGACAGAGTTACAGTGAAGAGGGTCCACTGAAGAGCATCTAGGAACAGCAAACTCCACACAGCTTCAACGAAGCGGCTTATACTTCTTCCAAGTGTCTAGTCTAAGTCTAAGTTGGCTAAAACACTGGCTATGAATTATAGTACTTATACGAAGTCTGCTGATTTTCAGCTTGGGTTTGGGTAATCCATTCAAATTAAAATCTAAAAACAATACGCAGCACACTAACAGCAAATTCATTTGTTAAATCTGCTCTTATATCCTGCTGTTCAAGTCTATAGCACCTGGTCATTTGATTTCCAGTAGGCCTGCTGAACTGAAATACTGTATATAGCACCTTGATCTTTAAATACACAAAACACATATGCATTTAAAAAATTATATATAAAAGCACTGGGTTTTGCCTCCTCCCGTCCATCCCCCCAAGTGAAGAGGTTGGAGAGGACTGAGGCCGTTGCTGGAAATTAAGTCGGGCAACACAACATTTTAATACTTTATTCCCTGAAGTTAGGAGCTGCTGCCCAACAGCCATCATACCGCCTCATCAGACTCCAGCCCGTGGACCTCATGTCAAGTGTCCAGTATGGCCAGCTGCTTCTCCATGGCAGGGAGGTAAAGGCTGAGGTCCCTGTGCATCCCTACACTGAAAGCTTTCTGGTGGTCACCTTCCTCTATGGTTAACACAGCCACAAAATCTTCATAGGAAGAAGCTGCCCTTAAAGCTAATGCAAAAACCCCTTGAACAACCCAGCCATACTGTCGCCGCCGTGTTTTACCATATGCGTTACTCAGGGCTGTCTGGATATCCTTTTCCCCATTTTTCACTTCTGTCAAAAATCCCTCCAAAAATTTGAGACCTCTCTTCAGCCACAAGAAGGCTTCCGTCGCCGAGTTCCTAAGCTGGGCTGCGCTGGCCTCCGCATCATGTAGCACTATCTTCTGGAGAGTGGCAAACTCTTCTTTGTTGGTTATATATACTTCTGATTTACTTGCTTAATATTTCCAGCAAGGTCCATCTTAACAGGAGCAAACACCATAGTGCCAACTTTGTCATGTACTGGAACCACAGCATAACATGACACCAAGAATGCTTCTGTGGGAATGCCACTGTCTTCCAGAAGTTCAGTGTCACTAAAGCTTGTGTTCATGGTACTATAGAAAGTTGGGATAACTTCTTTGCCTTCCTCCCAGAGGGATTCTGGAGAGCAACTTGAGGAGTCTGATCCAGACTGAGTCAAGTTATTGTCATGATTTTCCATGTTTTCCACTCCATCTTCCTTCATTATTTCACCTTGGACTGTTATATTACCATCTGTATTTTTCTCATTTGCTATGCTGCAGTCTACCTCTGCGGATTTCAAATATAAGGAATTCTTATTTTTCATTAGGGTTTCTTCATCATCATTTATTTCCATATTTAAAGATCCATTTTCACAGTTTCTCAACTCCATTTTCCTTCCCAATGAATTGCGAATTGTCTAATAGGATGTTTCATCTTGCTGGACTTGAGTATGGCCAGCTGCGGTGATCCTGGTGGTGTGCGGTAGAGCAGCTCAGAGGTGAAGGCTGCATTTGTAATCTGTGTGCATTCTTCCAAGGTCTTCAGAAACATATTGCAGGTTGATTTCAGCAAAATTCCCTCATCACTTCCTTCCTCAGAATTGGACACACTAGTCGTGGTCACTTTTTTTGTTTTATCTACTTGGTGAACAAGGTCACAGTAGAGTCTTAGTTCTGACATTTTGGTTTTCAGGTTTTCAGTGTTTTCAGCAAACTCTTTCTCCTTCTGGGTCCCACTGTCAGTCAGGCAAGCCTTGGCTGATTCCAGGGCCACCAGCTACCACTGTCTCTTAGCCTCACTTCTGGCCTTCAGGTAGAAATATTGTTCCCCGGGGATTATCAGGTCCATGCATGTATTATCTACAGAATGAATTTGAATTTTGCAGACTGCCATTTGGATGCTCCTTTGCAGCCTTCCCAGGCGTCTTCAGGAGAATCATGACAGAACAATATTCCCCCGCAGGGAAGGAACCATTGAGGCTGCCAACCGCTCAGATAGTTGGTCCATTTGGACTGCAGCCCCTCAGCCCATGCCTGCTGGCTCCCTCACTGCCCCAGGACCCAGGAGGCGTGGCTCACCAGCAGCAGGGCCATTGCCCAGCACGGCCCAGATGGCCACTCCTGGTGCCTGCGCCTGGTGTGGGGATGCCTGTTCCCTATTACCTGGCCTTTTCTGAAGAAAAGCTTGCTGACACTTGCTCTAGACTAGCATGAGCCACACGTACATTTTCTAGCAGCTACCCTGAATAAAAGCAAATAAATAGATGTCTTTTCTTTTTCTGATGGAGTCTCCCCCTGTCACCTGGATTGTGGTGCAGTGGCGCAATCTCGGCTCACTAGAACCTGCGCCACCTGGGTTCAAGTGATTCTCTTGTCTCAGCCTCCCGAGTAGCTGGGATTACAGGCACCTGCCACCATGCCCAGCTAATTTTTGTATTTTTAGTAGACATGGGGTTTCACCGTGTTGGCCAGGCTTGTCTTGAACTCCTGACCTTGTGATTCGCCTGCCTCAGCCTCCCAAAGTGCAGGGATTACAGGCGTGAGCCACTGCGCCTGGCCAACAGATGTCTTATCTTGTCACTCTTATTGAATATTGTGCTACAGAAGTGGTAGCTAGTATAAGAAAAGTACAAAATAGAAGGTGTGCAGTTTGGAAAGGTTATCTCTGGGAGGTAGGATTAGAAGTTGTTTTTCCTTCTATTTCTGTTCATATTTCCTATGGTAAACATAGTAGTTTTAAAATAAAGTCAAGTTTATACATGGAATGAACTTGATTAGAGGAGCAGCGGGCTATACTCTACACTCCTTGTATAGGTAGATTGAACTTTTCCATCTTGGTACTTTTTTTTTTTTTTGAGACAGAGTCTTGCTTTGTCGCCAGACGCCAGGCTGGAGTGCAGTGGCGCGATCTTGGCTCACCGCACCCTCCGCCTCCCAGGTTCAAGCAATTCTCCTGCCTTAGCTTCCCGAGTAGCTGGGACTATAGGCACATGCCACCACGCCCAGCTAACTTTTATATTTTTTAGTAGAGATGGGGTTTCACCGTATTGGCCAGGATGGTCTCGATCTCTTGACCTCGTGATCCGCCCGCCTCGACCTACCAAAGTGCTGGGATTACAGGCGTGAGCCACCGCGCCCGGCTGCATCTTTGTACTTTTATATGCTCTTCTGATTTCATCCCTTTTGCCCTCCAAACAGAGCCCTGGTAGCAGCAGGGGTTAAGAGGAAGGAGAAGAGGGAAGAACAGAGGGGAGGCAAGTGGGGACCTTGGCAGTGCTGGGGTTGTCTTATCTCCAGGGTCTGGCCTTGTCCTTCTCCCACCATGAGCCTCGTGCCTGACATAGGCCACTTCTGTGATAATATCGGCTGTTGGGCACTGATGTTCTATAAGCCTTCCACTTTCTTGTTTTTTAACAGTGATTGCCTCGTCAGACTTTCAAATCCAAACATAGCAACAATGAAAGAAGATATTCTCTATCATTTCAATCTCACCACTAGCAGACACAATTTCCCAGCCATGTTTGGAGATGTGAAGGTAAGGGGCCAGGTGCTGACACCTTGGGATTTGTCTTAAGATCAGCCTCCCCCTATATAATACAAGTAGACCAACCCACAAATGCTTGAGAGGCCACAGCTGACAGGTTTATGAAGACATAATGTTTACCAAATTTTTGCAAATTTTTAACTTTCAAGTATGTGAACTAGCAAGTAAAAGAAAACGATCCTAAGTAGTGCCATATTGTTACCTAATTCATCCCTTGCAAATTCAGTGCAGTTTTGCATTGCTTAACGGTGGGAATACAGTCCAAGAAATGCAGCCTTAGGTATTTCATCATTGTGTGGACAGCATAGAGTGTAAGCACACAAACCTAGGTGGCAGAGCCTCCTACCTGCCTGAGCCTTATGCCCCTAGGCTACAAACCTCTATCGCATGTGACTGTCCTGAATACTGTAAGCAGTTGTAACATAGTAGCAAGCATTTGTGCAACTATACATATCTAAACATAGAAAAGCTACAGCAAAAAACGGTGATATATAATTTCCTGAGATCACTGTTGTGTATATGTGATTCTTTGCTTACCAGAACATTGTTATATGGGGCATAACTATGTATTTGAAACAATATATAAAATAAACTTCCTAATGCTTCATTGAGAGAAGAGAAAGATGTAAAAATTTCTTAGGGAAACAAAGGATAGTAGATAAAGGTCATTGTATATTGTTTGTAACATAATACACATATTGATATTCTGTTTAGTTAATTGACTTAAATTTCTTGTTTTGCTTCATGCAGCTTCCAGTTAATTTTTTCTACAAAGTCTTAAGTCCCTCAGTTCTGATTTATCTTAACATAAGACTTTGAAATGTCTAATGGGTAAAGAAGAACTGATGTATAGAATAAAAAATCAAAATATACCAGGACCCTAGAATCCAATGCTGCTACATGGGATCAAAATAAAACAATGGTGTTATGTCTTATCAATCGCCTGTTCTTTGATAGTGTTGGTTTCAAATTGTGGACAACTTTCCATGTGCTTTTAATTCATTAAATTTTCATTCACCCTCTTAAGTTAATCTACAGTGATTTTTATTCCAGGGTATGAAATTTTCTTTTGTATGTTTAGAGAATAATTCATTTCTTTTATCTTCAAACTCTTTATTTTTTATTTTTTTTATTTTTTGAGCTGAAGTATCACTGCCCAGGCTGGAGTGCAGTGATGTGATCTCAGCTCACTGCAACCTCTGCCTCCCGGGTTCAATTGATTCTCCTGCCTCAGCCTCCTGAGTAGTTGGAATTATAGGCACCTGCCACCATGCCCAGCTAACTTTTGTATTTTTAAGTAGAGTTGGGGTTTCACTATGTTGGCCAAGCTGGTCTGGAACTCCTAACCTCAGGTGATCTGCCTGCCTACTCCCAAAGTGCTGTGATTACAGGTGTGAGCCACCATGCCCAGCCATCCTCAAACTCTTTAAAAACTTACTCACTTTTTTTTTTTGGCAAAACCAACATTTTCTTACGTGACTTTCTGCAAATTAAAGTTTTTACTTCTCTGAGAGAGACCCACCAAGAATAGCTGTCACTTCATGAACCTCCTCTAGGCTTCAGCTGGTTCTTCCCAAGAATTGGACATGTGGCACTCAAGTGACCAAGTGAGAGAGTGATCAGTAGCCCGTTTTGGGGGGCCCTGGTAACACAGAGGGACAGTGAGGAGTTGCTCCCTCTTGTTTGAAACCCAGGCTCTCTTCACAGGCTGCCTTCTACATGACAGAGGGAGGCCGAGTATGCACAGGACCTGGAATTACCTCCTCAGAGAGAGTGAGGGTCTGGATTCCTGTTTGTGGAGGTGACAGCCTTTTGATGCATGGCCGCCTCCACTGATCACTCACCAGGGACCTTGTTAAAGCAGATTACTGGGCCCCTTAGATTCAGGAAGTTCTGGTGAGGCCGGTGAACTTCTATTTTTAGCAAGTTCCTAGGTGATGCTGATGTTGCTGGTCTAGGGACCCCACTTGAGGGCCCCTGTTATAGACAGTGCACTAATGGGGGTCTGTCTTCTCTGGCTGTAGTTTGTGTGTGTTGGTGGAAGCCCCTCCCGGATGAAAGCCTTCATCAGGTATGTTGGTACAGAGCTGGGCCTTGACAGCCCAGAGAGAGACTATCCCAACATCTGCGCGGGAACTGACCGCTACGCCATGTATAAAGTAGGACCCGTGCTGTCTGTCAGTGTGAGTACCTGCCCTCCCTTGTGCTCAGTCTTTAGGCTCTGCAAGCCCCTGCGCCCCACCCCTCTGTACACACAGACAGCTGGTCCCCTAACACCTGTTTATTGTAACTGGCTGGGAGCAGGGTGAGCCCACAGTAGTTATGATTCAGAGATTATTGAACACAGGCTCCTGCCCTTGAGGCTCAGTCTCCAGGCGAGGCTAAGTACACAAATGCAAATGCACAGCTGTCTGTCTACACAGTGTGAGGGTGGCAGGTGCAGGGAGTTAGAGTGCTTGGGGTATACAGGAGGGACAGGAGAGGGTGCCCTGCCCGGAGCAGGATGGAAGGAGAGCCTCAAAGTACCAGCCCTTTTATCCCCTCTGCCACTTCATAGTGAGTTACTTCAAAACACATTTTGATTTAGTAATGAGCATGGTGAACACAGAAATAACTAGATTCTACCATAGAAGTCTTTTCATTTTTCAGTTTTGGTTTTCGTTGTCAGGAGCAATCTAAATGAGCTGTTGTAAGGAAAGGGAACCCCTTGTGGTGAGATATGTAGCTGAGGCCTCTAACTATGTCAACCAGCTAGAACACATCGGGGAGCTGAGGCGGTATTCAGTTACTGAGAGTCTGTGCAAAGCTTTCCTGTGTGTAAGCCTCCGTGACCAATTCCAGCAGGGATGCCTCCACTGCATGGCTCAGCCACAGGAACAGCCCCTGGAAAGTGCTGAGGGCATCTGGGGAGAGGCATCATGGAAGATGTGACACCAGGAAGGGGGCTCTGAAGGGGAGAGCAGGAGGAGGGGTATGCAGAGACCCCAAAGAGAGGAAAAGGCACAGGCAGAGGTACAAGATCAGCAAGGCGTCCTGTGTCCAGTGGGCTGAGGAGCCAGCTAGTTACTTCGTTTGGCTGAAGCAGAGGGTGTGGGGAAAAAAAAGAAAGGAGATAAATCTATCCTGGGGGGGGGGGGGGTGTGGGGGAGTAGGGTGGGCATTTATGCAGGGGCTCAGATGCTAGAAGGAGCTGTTTGTTACCTGGCAATAGCAGACTGCTGCTTCCCTGCTGAGCCCCTGGCTCCTCAGCTGTTACCTATTTGACTAATTATGTCAATCAAATGGGATTTTGTCTTTGACATCTTTGAGTAAACTTTTAAGTTTCCCACAGTGTTACTGGTTCTTAAATTTATGTTTAAGAAGTGTATCTTCTATCACGATGACAATGGGCATGGTAGATTAAAGTATATAACATGGAAAGTCAACCAGAACATTGGCAAAGTCACAGCCTTGGCTTAACACGGGTGTTTCTCCCTGGTTCCAGCATGGTATGGGCATTCCTTCTATCTCAATCATGTTGCATGAGCTCATAAAGCTGCTGTACCATGCCCGGTGCTCCAACGTCACTGTCATCCGCATCGGCACTTCTGGTGGGATAGGTAAGGTCTGCAGAGGGGCCTCATGCCCCGTGAATGGATGAGAGACTGGGGGATGCCGAGGCAGCTTCTATATGGTGTGGGATTAGACACAGAGTTCCTTTCTTGGCTGTGTTCAAGGAGAGCTTGTTAACAGGAGGCGTGAAAAGAAGCTTGTTTTGTTGATTATGTCCAACCCTTTCCTCCAAACCACACCCCAGAGCTAGGCAGCAGAAGGGCGCCACCCCGTGCATGTGGGGAAACCCATCCTTTTGGGGTTACACATTTTGTGCCTTCTTGTCTGCTTGATTCTCTCTTATTCTTTCTAATCCCCCTTCTCCATTCTCTCCTTTCCTTTGCTTACTTTTCCTCCTCCCTATGAGATTTGAGATTTGAAGCACCTTATGAGAAAAGTCACAGGAAAATCAAAGCGGGGAAGAGAGAGGTGCAGTACAAAACTCAGACAAGTGTCTTTAAATTAGCTCAAAATGTCCCTGTCCTCAACACGTTTCAAAAAACAAAGACGGCAAAGTAAGAATGAGATTTCACGAGAACACAAAAGCTAACAAATTGTTGAATTGTAAACCAAAGTCTGATAGGCAGATGTGTTTTAAATACGCGGTCTCGCTCTCTGGGGTTCCAACTCTGTATCATTGTTTCTGCTAAAACTGGGCTCCAGTGATTCCTGCTCCCACCCAGGTGTTCGAGCTCAGGGAAGAAGCCTGCAAGTGCCCTAAAGAAAGCTGAGCTTTGACGCTGCTGGTCAGGCCTGTGTGTACTTGTCCCAGGCTGTCTAGGTCTGGACTGTCTAGGATTTATAGCAATTCTAGAATTTAAGTCTCCTGACTTTGAAAGGGGACTTGCTTTAGACCCAAATCTTTTAAATATGTTATCTTGTCTCTTCTCTTTTTGTTATGTAGACATTGATGTGTAAAATCTGTGTTTGCATGACTGTAATTCCAGGTTTAGTGAAATTGTCCCTAGACCACATGCCAATGGCCATGAGCTGTCTCAGTCCTGCAGACCTAGTCTCCAGTAAGACACTGACAGCTATGCATACATAGCATGCTGGCACTAATCCCACTTATGCAGGCTCCACCCTCATGACCTAATCACCTTCCAAAGGCCCTGCTGCCTAAAACCACCACCTTTGGGGTTAGGATTTCAGCCTATGAATTTTGAGGGGGAGACCAACATTCAGTCCCAGTCCATAGCAATGGTCAAATCTCATCTAAAGTTATTATAGCACAAAAGAATAAGGAGCAGAGTAGTAAGTAGTGTCCCTACAAACAGAAAACTACTCCAGGAAGGCATGCCCAGAACATATGAACTGGACCCTAATAATGCATCAATCTGAGCGGAAGGCCAGGGAGGTCAGCAGCTGGTCATAGCTCCCCTGGGTTTAGGCCGTGGGAGTTCGTTATACTGTTCCAGTCTGCTTTTTGCTAGTTTACTTTTCAAGCATTTGCTTGAAAGCTTAAATATGAACAAGGCACGAAGTAGGGAATCAATGAAACACATCATGGTATAGGTTCAGTGACAGACGACAGTGGGAAATTGCAATGAATTGAAGGCAGAAACATGGGACAAAGTACCCAAAGGGTCCTGGCTATTTTATTTTATTTTATTGAGACAGAGTTTGCTCTTTTTGCCCAGGCCGGTGTGTAATGGCACAATCTTGGCTCACTGCAACCTCTGCCTCCTCGGTTCAAGCAATTCTCCTGCCTCAGCCCCCCGAGTAGCTTGGATTACAGACATCACCACAATGCGGAGCTGATTTTTGTATTTTTAGTAGAGATGGGGGTCTCACCATGTTGGCCAGGCTGGTCTTGAACTCCTGACCTCAGGTGATCTGCTCACCTCGGCCTCTCGAAGTGTTAGGATTGTAGGCATGGGCCACTGCACCTGGCCCTCTGTTTTCTTCTTTGTGCCTTTCTCTTCCATAATGTCCATAATGATCACACATTAATTACTTTCATAGTTTCCAAACAGTTTAATGGGAAAATGGGTCGCTGTGTATTTGAGAGCAGTCCTGGATGCCTCCTGTTTGGGTGTGCGGATGGATCGTTTCTTTCCTCCATGTGCTTTCCTGTGTGCTCCCTGGCTGCCCTGTGTAATTGTCTCCTCTCTTCTTATGGTTTATTTTACTTTGTTTCATGTCCTGCATAATCTTGATGTCTGCTTTTCCCCCAGGTCTGGAGCCTGGCTCCGTGGTCATAACAGAGCAGGCAGTGGATACCTGCTTCAAGGCAGAGTTTGAGCAGATTGTCCTGGGGAAGAGGGTAGTCCGGAAAACGGACCTGAACAAGCAGCTGGTGCAGGAGCTGTTTGTGTGTTCCACGGAGCTAAGCGAGTTCCCCACAGTGGTGGGGAACACCATGTGTACCTTGGACTTCTATGAAGGTAAGGCAGTGGATACCAGGAGGCATCTTTCAGCCAGTGGTCCCTCCCCTGAGCTTGCCTTCTCACTGTGGGTTGGGGTTTCCACGTGCCAGGCTGCTATCTCATTGCACCTCTCCCAGGGTGGCCGGAATGACCCATTTGAGTGGACCTAGGCAGGACCTGGGTGGGTCTTGCTTGTCACTATGTCCCTCAGGCATCATGGCACTGATGTGTTGTAGGAACTTACTACATGCCTGTGGTTCTCACATCTCCTTGTGTGCCTCAGCGCAGGGCCGTCTGGATGGTGCTCTCTGCTCCTACACAGAGAAGGACAAGCAGACGTATCTGCAGGCGGCTTACACAGCCGGAGTCCGGAACATCGAGATGGAGTCCTCAGTGTTCGCCGCCATGTGCAGCGCCTGCGGCCTCCAAGGTAGGCAGCACTCGATGGGCCTCGGTGCCCCCTCCCCACTCCACTCCTGCTCTCCTGGAACCCCCTCACAGGGGCACCTCCTCCTGGAGCACCCCAGTACCCATTTCTGACTTCTATCTCCCCTGCCCCCAAGTCACTTTCTGATACATGTATTGTCCTTACAACCCTGTGTTCAACGTCCTTTGATTGTCACATGACAAAATGCAGGATTCTCAGTGTCCTTGTATGGGGAAGATGACAAAAAAGTTTTGCTGCCCCATGAGGCTGCCACCAGCTCTATAAAAAACTCGGCTTTCAAAGCGCTTTGGCTTTTGGAACGGTGATTCATCCACCCCCAAGGTCCTAGGCACCCTGGAAGGGCAACTCAGAGCTCTGCAGAATTCCCTCATCACCTTGGCCAAAATGTGCCTTTCAAGGTGGTGCTTGCAGCCCCGAGCTGGCCCTGGAATGGGGAATTCCTTTTGGAAGCTGAGGCTCGAAAATAAGGGAGGGACCGGGCAGGGTGGTGTCAGGGAGGAGCCTTCCTAGCGCCTGGACCAGCGCCTTTCCCTCCCGCACTGCATCCTCCGGCTCCGCCGGCCTGAATGGGCAGCCTGGTTTCCTGAGTTGCCAGCGCTCGTGGGTCCTTCATTCCATCCCTGTGAACCGTTAGACCCCCAGCACCTTGCCCTGATGTGGTCTTTGCCCTCTGCAGCGGCAGTGGTGTGTGTCACCCTCCTGAACCGCCTGGAAGGGGACCAGATCAGCAGCCCTTCCAATGTGCTTGCAGAGTTCCAGCAGAGGCCGCAGCGGCTGGTGAGCTACTTCATCAAGAAGAAACTGGGCAAGGCCTGAGCGCTGCCCCCAGCCTCCGTAGACCTGCTGTGATCACTTGCCATTAAAAGCATTGTCCAAAATCTCCTGTTGTGTGGACCTTTAGCACACTTTAAAAAAGAATCTAGAAAATCAGATTGCAATTAAGAGACAGAAAATCTTGAATTAACGGCATGGGAGATGTTCTTCCTTTTGAAGTTTCATTGGATCATTTTCATCTATGTTAGCCTGATTTGGGGTTTCTTCAAGAACATTCTACCAATTTTTGTACTATTTCTAGGGAAATGTTTTAGACTTTAAAATTCTAATGGTGGTCAGATTTCATGTCACTAAACAAGAAATCTGACAATCGTGCCAGAAAACTCATTTCCTGATGGATTTTTAAAATCCCATGCACCACTTGCAATGAGAGATGACTGAAAACCAGTGACGCAGACCGCAGGTGTCTGAGAAATGACGCACACCTAAACATGCATATACACAGTTTCCAACAGTCACACACATTTCCGGAACGGTCCACACCAGCTTAACCACATGACAGTAAGCCTCCCACCCACTGTCCACACTGCTAGTGTCTTGATCCAAGTACCTGGGGATGGGAAACAGGACATGTGGGCTCAACACAGCTTGTCTGTTGTGTCTGTCCATGGCTGGTCAGCCTTGCATTCATTCCTGGCCTCACACTGACATTCCCCAGCTCCGAGTCTCTTAGCTTCCACCTGGGTTGCATCTTACAGCAGAGGGGAGAATCTACGGTGGCCCCTCGTCTGTCTCGGGTGAGTCTGGCAGCAGCTACTTCTTGGGCAGGCCTAGGTCCCCCGCTCAGGGGCAGTTGGGTCTTGGGACATTGCTGGCTTGTGGGTTGCCCAGCGTCCTGGCTGACTGCTCAACTTTCCCCACATCAATGTGGCTTCTTTCTGGTATTTTTGTTTCCTGTCCTTGAGATGGGCTTATTTCCTGATGGGCTCTGGGGGAGCACTCCCATGCTCAGGGGCTCTTCTTGGCAGTTTGCTGTGTGACTTGGAGTGGCACAGGGAGGTGTGTGGGGACCTGGTGTGAGGGCATGCGTGTGGTCTGTGCACTTTTCCATGCGCCTTCCCTGTGATTCTGAGATTCAGCCCAAACTGAGGGTCATTCAGCATCTCCTGAGCCCATGTGCCCTTCTAGGTGCTAAGAGCAAGAAAGACCCTTGCCCTAGTCAAAAACTTCCTTCCCTTCCACCTTCTCAAGCTCTAGGGGATGTCCTACAGATCTGCTTAGGGTGGAGAGTGAATCTCCTTCCATCTCTCCTGGCAGAAATGGTCTTCTTGGGCCCTTTGTTGAAGCTGTCCGGGAGAAACTGGAGCTCTCAGAGAGGCTCTCAGAGAGGCACATCTGGGATGTGGCTGTGCAGCCATCTGTGCACCCGGGGCATTGTGCTAAAGGGTCTGCTCCTGGCCTGTCACTCCAGCACGAGCTGCAGGGGCTGGACTTGCTACTGTGGTGCGTTCATCTGTCTCCAATTACCGAGTGCCCCCAGACTTCAGCTGGATGTCACCATGCTCCTGTGGGTACATGACCCAGAGTGGGCTAGACTTTCTATTCTCTGACCAGGCTGAGGATGCAGGTGTGGACCAGCTAGTAGGTGGCTTGCAGGTTAATTTCTTTCACACCTCAACCCACGCAAGTGTGGCCAGGTGGACCTGCCACTTCCTAGGAGGACATCTTTGGTAAAGCAGAGAGAACTCACACACACACACACACACACACACACACACACACACACACACACACACACCACACACCACACACACACCAGAATTTCAGGCTAAAGAGGAGGCTGCTGTTAGTAAGAGAAGGGCTAGTTTCTTTTTGAGGTGTTTTTCTCTGCACTGCCCTAAGTCTGTCTGGCTCGGGGAGCCATCACAGAGCCTGTGGCCTAAGCGCCCTCCTCCTGGACAAGGCAGAAGGTAAAAGGACTTCTGAACATGAGATTCTTTCTACAGGTGTCAATGGCTAAGCTGCAGGTGTGGGCACTGCACTGCCCTCTGCTGGCTGTGTGAGGTAGGGCACATCAGCTACCCCAGGTGGATCTCTGGGGCTCTAATGGGGCGACATCCCTGACCTTACAGGTGAACCCGACAGCTCCTGACATGCAGGAAATGCCGGTGGAACAAAACATCTTGTTCTGATTGAGTAAACATAGTAACTGTACTTAATGACAACCTGTTGGATTAGTTTATGTCGGCCTAAAAGGAAGAAGCTGAGGCAAAATCGGTAAAAGCAGACCATGTTACTGACTGGGGCCAGGCTTGAGGACTGCAACCCAAGGACATAGATTCAGGTTCCCCTGAATGAACACTCCGATTAGCAGCGCTTGCAAGTGGATTTTTAAAGGCAAAAGGGACAGGGAATGGGCTGATACACGGCTGTCTGTAGAAATTCTCATTGGTTTATAGAAATGACATTGATCAATGGCTACTCATTGGAAAGCCATAGGTGTGGGTTATACTGTCCAATGTGGCATTCTTAGGTTCATTTATAGCTACTTGGGGCAATAGCAAGCAGTTCCAAGAGATGAATACATAGTTAAAAAGGTGGAGTGATTGATGTCTTTTTCTTGCGACAAGGTCTTGCTCTGTCACCCAGCCTGGAGTGGAGTGGTGCAATCATAGCTCACTGCAGCCTCTACGTCCTGGGCTCAAGCAATCCTCCTACCTCAGCCTTCCTAGCAGTTGGGACTACAGGTGCGTGCCACCACACCTGGCTAAGTTTTGTAATTTTTGCAGAGATGGGGTCTTGCTGTGTTGCCCAAGCTGGTCCTGACCTCCTAGGTTCAAGCGCTCTTTCCACCTTGGCTTCCGAAAGCACTGGAATTAGAGACGTGAGCCACTGTGTCCGCTTACTGTCCCATTTTAATATCTCTCTGGGCCTAATAATTTGAAAGGTCTCAAATTCCTCAGATGAAAGTTCTTTTCTTTCCTCATTCAGCTACCAAGATGTCTCTGGAGCTGACGTTATAAATGTCCTCACATGCGTGTTACTTGAATTCCTCAGGAGGCCACCAGAAACTCAGTCCCTTCCCTCTTCCTACACTGGCCACTCTTTGACTTTCAGGCCCTTGTGCCCTGGGCACTGGCCCCTTCCTCAACCCCTTCTCTGTTCCCAGCACTGGTGTTAAAGACTCCTCTGAGTAGGGATATAATGATGCCAACACGGTTCGCTTTTGGTGCTTTCAGCAAGGTGGACAGAATTAGGAATGTAATTGGGATTGTTCTGATGGAACTAATTACCCTGGATTTCAAACGTTGTCAGCGAGTTCACTCCATGTTTTCCTCTAGTGCAGTCCTTAAGTGAGATGTTCAGAATGCCTCCCACTAATGTGGAAACCAAACTCTAACAACTATCCAGTCCTTTGTAAATTGGAACTCAGCACGTCACTAGTGAGTTAGTCAAGAGTTTACCTTGGGAAGCCTGCCGCACTCTCAAGTAAAGGGTCGGGCTTTGGTGTCAATTGCAGAGGTGTCTGTGCTCCTCGTGGTCCAGCCTCATCACAGCAGTGATAATACCACCCTGACCAGAAACAATGAGATGATGGTTTGTCTTTATAAATGACAATAGGGACAAATGTCATTTGTCTTTATAAATGACAACAGTGGAATATGTTAGGGCATAAACCTCCCATACCTTTATCCTTAAGCCTGGCACTAAGCCACGTGTTTTTTTTTTGTTTTGTTTTGTTTTGTTTGAGATGGAGTCTTGCTTTGTTGCCCAGGCTGGAGTGCACAATCTCGGCTCACTGCAACCTCTGCCTCCTGTGTTTAAGTGCTTCTCCTGCCTCAGCCTCCTGAGTAGCTGGAATTACAGGCACCTGCCACCATGCCTGCTAAGCCACGTTTTAAAGCCAGGTGTCCAAGTGTATTATCTGGCAATTCCACTCCTGCTCCTGGGATCTCACGGAGAGAACTCATGTGGCCCAGGAGACGTGGACAGGAATGTTCATAATCTCAATGGCCTCAGCAGCAAAAGCCAGAAGCCCCCAAATATACATGTGCCAGAGAACGAATGCATAGAGTTTGCTGTGCTGAGATGATGGAAAACAGTGAGAATAAATGCAGACAGCTTCACCCTCAGTACAGAACCATCTCAGCTAACATTCTACCTGAAAAAAGCAAATTGCAGAATACTACCTACAACATGATTCCATTTATATAAAGTTTGAAAATGGACAAAACTAAACAATATCTTGTTTAGGATTGTGTGCATTGCATGGTAGGACTAGGGGGAAAAAACTCCATCAGGGATTGAGAAAGCCCATCTTGAGATCAGGAGTTGCCTGTTGGGAGGTCGGGGGCATTTGGGACCCTCAGGGACCTCAGTGATGTTCTGTTTCCCAGGTTAGGAATGACTGCACATCTGGGCTTCTGGGTTCTGCTGCAGCTTACTCATATTTAAGAACTCCTTGGTGTATATGTAATAATTGGCAGAATATCATCTGATCTAATTATCACCACCCAGGGTTAGGCTCAATTTATAAAATAAGGAAGCGGTGCTAGTGTAAGAAAACAGTACTGCTCTACTGGTGCTTAGTAGTTACCATGTACATGAAGGAGAGTGATTTCTGACTAATTTTGATGGCGTTAGGAGCAGCTCTGCAGGTGTCAGCTTTTACTAATAGCTAATATTTATTGAGCCATTGTTGTTGGGCCCCTTGTGTGGAACTCCCATCAGCGACCTTGCCTGGCCCTCTCACCATCCGTGTTATCCCCAAATGCCAGGTGAGGACACAGCCTAGGCTCATGTCTGTGTGAGGGCTGGGACTGTGCGGCCATAGTGTGTTATTTACATACGTGCACATATACACACCTGCGCGTTTCCATGCATGCACTGTCATACACGCACAGCCACGCAGAAGTTTACTTACTAGGAAAAGAGTGGCACTCAGTTCTCTGGACTTCACAAGGAAAGAACACAGGTGTGAGTGTCAGTCCTCGGCATCCCGGAGCAGTTCGTGCTGCGGCGGGGTGGGGGTGGGGGGGGGGGGGGGGGGGGGTGGGGTGGGGTGAGGGGTGGTGGAAGTTCTCTTTTAGGATGTCCTTCAGTG